CGCTCTCCATGCCAATAACCATTTATGAGTCACAGTTCAGTGGGGAAGTTCCTCAGGAAATCACATCAACCAGAACAAAAAAAGGAGCAAACTCATCAATTTCAGCTGGCCCAGATTTTCTGGTTTCCAACTATGGTTCAGTTTTTCTTTCTTTTAAATCTTTATATACAAAATTCCCCAAATCCCCTGCACATGGGAAATTAGGTTGGGCGTATGATCCATCACTCTGAGCCAGTCGGGCTGCACTGCACAGTGCTGACAATGGTCACCATTACAAAGAGAAGGGTGAATGGGACAAAGCAATAAAAACTTCACAGAGGGACTAGACTTCCTTCCGCTCTAAATAGGTTTTGCCTAGAGATGCACTCTTAATGCAAGTAGTGTAAAGTACAGGAATAAGACCCAATTCAGCCACTTGCAATCCACACACAGCAGAGCCCAGAATGCGAGGGAAGAGCAACCTAAGGAGCCAATCAGTTGTGCCTCAGACAGGTCTGTCCTGCCAGACACGGCTGTGCTATGTGGCAGAGCTGTGTAAATGAGGACTGGTCGGATAGAAATACAAATCCTTTGTCAGGTAGAACAGTTTCCATGTTTTTTTTATTTGTGCCCATTTCCATCTTTGTGGAGGTATTTAAAAAAAAAAAATATATATATATATATTTTTTTTAAGAAAAAATATATATATCAGCAATATAGACCGAGTGCACGAAGCAGACATATACAGTTACTGTATATGAACACGGAAACTTACATTTTTTGTTTGCTTTCCTCTTCATTTCCTCATGGAATCTGTGCTCTGCAAGCAATCCGTGTACTGTATATTACAACTGAGCTTCCTCTTTAATCCCTCTACCCCGTCTTCATTAGTATTCATAGTGGCAACACCCCCTGGAAAGTGTATTGTGTGTAAAGGCGGAGTTGGTGACGCACTGCGTCGCCTTGAGGAAGGGGACCCTGCGTGGAGTGCTGGTATCTCTACATCTCTGTACACTGGTATGATGACAAAACATTGAAACTTAATTTTCCTGCACCCTGAAATCATAGTTGCAATTTTCCTAAAGAATTCCATTGGGGCTTTCAACTAACCAGTTTTGTTAATTTTTAGAACCCGATCATAGCTCCAACCCTACGAATGATATTTAAACTTGAGCAATAATTAGAGCTCATTATTTTTTAATACAGATATTCCACCCAATGGAGTCTTTCAATTCATGTCGCAGCCATAGTCTCAATTTTCTCACTTCAAGCTTTGGAATTTAAAAATTGACAAAAAAAATCCAACAGGGGAGGAAGATTTCCTCATGGGTGGAGCTGTAAACTTTGAGAACAGAGATCTCACTGTTCGAATTTCTGATAAAAATATATACCATGGCTGAGTGAGCGAAATGAATAGCACCATCTTAAACAGAAATAACCATTTTGGAAGGACTGGCCCTTTAAAAACAAAACAAAAAAACAGTTGATACAAGATCATAAAAGCTTTCTGGCTTTTTAAAATTATGGCCAGGTTAGATGCATTTAAGACTTACAAAACAGGCTCCTCTTCTTCATCAGACTTGAGGTCTTCATCAAAAGCAGGCAAATCGACCATAACCCTGCGAATAAACCCAGACCGGATTGTTAGATCTGTTTAAACACCTTGCATAACAATAGCAGCATGTAGAATTTTAAAACACACGTGCCGTCTACTCAGTTGCTGTACTAATGCAGAGCCTGTCTGGTTCTAGCAGTTTGTGATTTCCAAAGGTTATTATATGACTGCGGGGCAGTACAGAGTTCAGCACTTATGACTTCTGCTGTCAAGACACTGAACTGAAATATAGCTGAAGGCAAAACCTTTTCTTTTAGGATTTGGATAGCGTGGTAAGGGTTTAGAAGCACTGTTTTTATAGCTGTCTGTGTCCCCATTGAGGGGATGCTCTCTCTAACTGTACCGACCAGCAATGTCACTGAGGATAAAAGTGATGGTAAATCTGAAATTTTGGGTTGCCACCAGAACAGGATAAGAGAGGAAATCTTCCAATGGGGACATTTATACGAGTGACAACTGTCTAATGGGATATCCCTCACACTGGACAGACATCCTAACACTTCCTGCAAAGTCTGCATGACAGGAAGTGAAGGGAGACAACAACAACAAAGAAATCAATCTGAAAGTGGTTTTAACCCTTCCCTACTTTACACAAAATGGAAAAAAGTTTTGCCTGTACACATATTTTAAAAAGAAATCTGAAGGAGATGCCTTCCTTGATGTTCTTGCTTCTTGTCTGCAGTTACATTGCACTAGACTGGACCCATGGCGGAAGCTCTCAAAGCACAGGGAAAAAGAAGGCAAAAGGAAATAAGTGATATTTATAAGAACGGATATTAGCAGCTGTTTGATTGCTGATGGAAAGAAACAGTTGTGTCTCATAGGTGTTAACTAAAATGTAACCAAACAATGGCACATTGTGGCAAGCTGCAGCTCTCTGAGCAACTATATTACAGGGTATCTGTATATCTTAGAGGTCTAAACAAAAGTCCGGCTCCTCGGCTTTCTCCTTCTCTTTCCCCTGCTGAAAAATAACTGGTACTTCAGGGTATGGGGGAGCTTGATGCAGTGCTCAGGCCCAATGGCCAACAGGCTTGACTGGAGCAGGGACGTGTGGTCTAGGGAGGCAGAGTCTCACCTGTCATTACGGAAGAAAAAGTTGTCAGCTTCAAGCCTGAAGCCGACAGCTTTTTCTCCATTCAGTACACCTTCTAACAGGTTACACAGCGGGGAAAGCCTCCCCACTGTGTAACCCGTCATGGACAGAACGCCGCCTGTTAATTACAGGCGGTGCTTCATCCAGCTTTTGACAGCTAAGTTGGGTTGCACAGCAGCGAGCTTCCCCGCTGTTGTGTGTAACCTAACACAGTGAGGTCAGAGCTACAACAAGCCTCTGACTGAGTCAGAGCCTTGAGCTCTGTGGATGCCTCACCTGCCACTGATCTCACCACATGTCCCTGGCCTAGAGTGTTGTCACAAGACTGAGATCTCATACCAGACGACCTCAGGTGATTTGGTAGTGGCTGCAATGGGAGGAAGAGACAGGGCAGCACTGGAGAAGTGGCTCTTACATAAACACTGTTACTTTAAAAAAGGTAACGTATAGGGGTCTCTCTAAAGCCTTAATCCTGGTTCGGGATCAGTGACTCTAAAGCAAGAGGGTCACCGTGACAGCCAGGCTCCTAGTATCTTCAGATAAGGCAGAACAGTAATGGAAGCCCCTAGGTATCTCTCTTAATCCAACTTGGAGCTAGACCACCAAGCAGCAAGCGCTCAGGAGGAGATGCCACCTTGGTCTGCAATGTTGCAGTAAGATCTGCTGCATTTGTTGGAAAAAAAAATCTTTTTATACTCAATTTTACATCAGTCTTCTTTTATAACATAATGAAACATTCATTATTGCTTTATTGAGAAAGAAAAGAATCCATCTTCAATATGACAAAGTGGAGATCCCTGGAAATGTGCTGCATTAACAAGCATGGAGTATTCCCCATAAACACAGACTAATGTCAGGTAAATTTATGTCTTTGAAGTGGAGATTTTCCCACAGGGATCTCCAGTAACATCTGTTGCCAGTTTCCTACAGCTGTTGACAATTTCCATTTTTCTTTCAACAATCACCACGCTCTGTCAGGATGGAGAGTATTTGATCTGTTCACGGGCATACTTTTACATAATCATTTCACCCAAAAAACAATGAAGTAATATAATTTTTACCCATTTTAAAAACAAACAGGTTATACCCAACAACCATCCTGATGGGTCAGACATATGCCCTAACAAACTCACCTGATATCTTGGATTTGCACAGTACTGAAGGTACAATAAGAGAAGAATTTAAAGTGGACACAGAAAGGTTGAACCGCCATTAGACCCCTATTTTTCTTTTCAATAAACTTTACTCCATGAGCACAAAGCATTCCATAAAACACATTTCCTGCTAGACCCTACTTGGCTCATTCAGCCAAAAGAGCATTTGCGAAATCTGCTACTGAAGCTGGACAAGACCTGACTCACAATCCATGTTCCAGTTAATCACAAAGGTGTTCAGTAGAGTAGAGGTCAGGGCTCTATGCATCCCAATCAAGTTCTTTCACCAAACTCTTTGCGTCATATCATTATAGAGTTGGCTTTGTGCAGAGAGGCACAGTCATGCAAAGAACAGAAAAGGGTTTTCCCCAAAATGTTGTCACAAGGTTGGAATTGCACAGTACCCAGTACCCATCACTGGAAACAACGGAACTCCAAAATTTGGAGGGGAGTCCACATTCCTTTGCTCATATTGTATATAAAGTTTTTAAAATTCTATTCAACCATATACTGTAATTCATTCACCCCTGCAACAGAGCAGGTTGACACAAACTTTTTTCAAATGTAAAACGTCCAGTGTCACATTGTACGATAAATCAGCAATGTGATGATGCTCATTTTATATCCAACAAGTAGACAGAAATGTATGCTGCAAAGCTCCTACGAGAAGTCGTTTGGTCAAAGGCCTGACTACGAATTTTGGCAACGTTTTATGAAGCATAAGACCAGACATAATTTAAAACCTGTGGCAACCAAAACAACTTTGGCAATTATGGCAATCTGTACCACAAGGTGATCCCCGTCGTTCAAATCCTGGACTGGTTATGCTACTTTTCGGAAGACCAGACCACTGCACCGAAACTGCGCAGAAACCAACAGGCCCGTCGCTCCCCTTCACCTTCACTGGACATACCCAGCCGTCCACCAGGAGATGGCGTGGAAATCGCAGAGCCATGATCCGGGTGAGCTTGCCCCTCTGGTTACCTACTGAACGCTTCTGCACATGTTTTGGTCCGCGGCCCAGTCCCCAGGCTAGCCCTTAGGCCCGGCCGGGTGGACAAGGGAGAGCCCGTGTCGGAACAGGCCACACACCCTTGCTGATGCCCCTCTACCATCCCTTAACCACCCGGGACCGGATGGATCCAGCTGGCTCACACTACAAGGCCCTCTCGCCTCCATCTGCGACTCCCACATGCCGGAAGGCCTCTGTATCCTTTTCCTAACGCCATCGGCTTGGGGTTCGACCTTTCGGCCTGCCGCTCACTAGGCCCTCCGTCACGACATTGAGGGTCGGTTGCGGGTGATACATTTTATCCAGGGGGCCCAATGGCGCTCCCTACGAAACGTCCTATTAGACACTGACATGGGAGAACCCGGCTTCTGGAGTCAACTCCAAACTTCCATCTTCCTTTCCACGCTTCCTGCTCCCTCACTGTTCACCCGCACCCTTACCGACTTTGAACGCACATGTTTGGACACTGGGCCCATGACCAAGACTCTATCCTTGTGCTACGGATGGGTGGTGGAGGCGGACTTAGACTCCCCACTGCGCTTTATAGCACAATGGGAAAGGGAATTGGGACTACAGTTCTCACAAGCAGACCAGGTTAAAATACTCAGACTCTCATTGAAATCAATCTGTAATAAGTACCAGGGCTACAAAATCATGACCCGCTGGTACAGGACGCCCCATAGGCTCCACCAGATGTATAGCGAGGTTCCGGATGCCTGCTGGCGTTGTGGCTCCTCCCCCGCAGACATGTTGCACAAATTTTGGGCCTGCCCGTGTCTGACCTCATTCTGGTCACAGGTGAAACAGATTGCCCAGAAATTCACAGACCACCAAATTCCAGAAGATCCAGCATTCTTCCTCCTCCACCATAACCATTTTCCACTCAAGGGGTACGCTTGCTCAGTGCTGGTACACCTCCTCAATGCAGCCCGCGCCTGTATACCATCTCTCTGGAAACAGAAAGCCCCACCGTCGATCCGACTCTGGTTCACTAAAATTAATGATATTAGATCCATGGAGGACCTTACCAGCTCAATCAAGGGCACAGCTGCCAAATACGCAACCTCGCATTTCGGAACGTAAATGACCGGGAGACTCCTCTCCTCCGATCTCACCTCAGGGTTGCATGCCAACGAATGTATGACACACCACCCCGGGACACAGGGTACCATTGTACATTGTTTGCTTGCACTGTACGAGATTGATATTAGTTTCCTCAACCTATGTACATAGATTTTACCCAATTTCTGTACCACGTTTTATGTATGTTTATCCACGTGTCGTGGACAAAAATGACAAATAAAGAATTTTTTTTTTTTTAAATAGATGAGGGAAAAACAACAACTTTGTTTTACCTTTCCTGACTGAGTCAAATCTTCCTTAATTTGGCTCAGGTGTCCTCCCTCCCAGAAACAGCTCACAGTGGGAGGGATTCAACAACAGTGACAGTGCTGTCAATCCAGAAAGCAGTGGACAGGACAAGGTGTGGCCAGGTGCTGAGTGGCAAGCTCCAGGCTTGTAAGTCAGCATTGACAATGCTGACAGCCTTGCCCCCAGCAATATTTTTTTCATCCCATATTACTGCAAGTAGGCACAGAGTATCAATTTGGCTCTGAATTCAGAAGCAGTGCAGCATCGCCACAGGAACAGCTTTAGGTAGACTTCACTGGCAGAATCAATAAGCATTTGTGGGACTTTGCAGAGAAGAAAAGAGAGAGAAAACTAAGTGCAGATGAACTTCTAATTAAGTGCTGCAGCACATTTTTTTAATAGGGAGGGCATAGTTCTACTTTAATTGATACCCCCTATTGGCTAACTTAAATAATTAGAGATGCAAGCTTTTGGGATCTGTGGTGTTCCTTGTATAGGCATTATACATTTCCAGTATGCAAAAATAGGAATTACAAAATGCCTGAAGAAGGAATCTAACCAGTCACAAACTCTTGCATTTTTAATAGCTTACAATAGCCAATAAAGGGTATTACTTTAACTCCAAACTTTCTACAGCATTTTGACCAAAGACTGTAATTGCTTTACAGCAGAGGTAAATACATATCTAAAAGGTTCTGACAGGTTTGCTTCTGGGAAGGAGTTTTAAAGCTAAACTGTATGCGGATACAAAAAACACAGAAGAATGCAGCTCTGTAATCATAAAATGTTTCACAAGTAGTGCAAGTACTTGCATTTGACCTGGTATCAGCCTCTTGCAGCCCCCGCACAGCAGCGATGTAGTGCGAGAGGAAGAAGCAGAACAAGGAGCCAATCAGTTCATGTGCCGACAAGAATAATGCGGAAAGGAAAGCAGAAAGACAGCGAGATGAGTTAATTACTGTGCTGCTTCACCTTTCACTGTCCAGTCACAGCCTGGGGCAGGGCCGGGTCTACCTGAGCTCAGAGCAAGTGGGTAGAAAGATGTTAGCCAGACTGAGGACATCTAGTGGCAGTAAAAAACTACCTTGGGAAAAATCTCTGAATTGAATGTGAATATTGCAGCAAGTTCTTGTTTTGGCATTTCATCTTATTAGACTGTTCATTTTTTATCTTCGTTTTGGCTGGAGTTATGCTTTCATTTGAAATTCTCTTAGAACTTTTCATGCTTTAAAACCCATTTCCATGTTGACTCAACTTTAATTTTTACAGGCCTGTAAGCACAGCAAAAACGGACTTACAACTTCCAGCATAATGTTTAGCTTTTCAACACCTTTGAAGATTTACTGCACCGAGTATTATTACTGACGGCATTAGTTAAAGAGTCATACAAAAGTAAGATTGGCGTGCATGTCTGTAACTAAAGTGAATTATCCAATGTCTCCCTGGGGGAAAGAAAAATGTCAAAAAGCTTTAAGCAATGCATCTTCTTTTACAAAATATTCTCGTCACAAGACTGTCTGCACTGGAATACAAAAAAAAAAAAATTCCTGCATAAAATTTCTTAGATAAGGACAGCTGTGATTTCATCGGTGAGGAATTAACGAGAGGACATGGTAACTAAACAAACACATAGCAGGGAAATTAGCACTCTAAGGGGAGAGAAAGAAATATGCCACATTCTTACTTTTTAAGCATATGGTAAACTGTGATCTGTACGGCTCTCTCCCGATGCAGCAGGAGAGGAGCCAGGGTATTTAGCAAGCTCTGCAAGCTGTCAGGGAGGTTGGTCTTCTGTCCAGCGACAAACTTGGCTGGGAGTTTGTGGTCCAGCAGCTGTTCTTTTGAAATGTAACGTAGAGCTTCGCCAAGCGACTGCAACACAGGGCTCTGATAAGACATCTCTGAAGCCTTGCTCTCCCCTGCACAAAATAAACAGAGAACAAAAAAAGAGGGGGGGGGGGGGGGGGCAAATTATTTTGAGAAGGAAAATTCCAAAGATGTACTTGTAGTCTATAAATTAGCTTAGCTTGCTGATATTATAAGGACTTATATGTGAAAATAATGGATAGTGGTCATGTAAAGGTTCCTTTAATAACACGTTAAAGCTTTAAATGAGGTGATAGAAAATATTTAGGTTTGTATACAAATACTAATGAAAGTGGGAGTGGGTGTACAGAGAGAGAGTTTCTAGCATTTGCAAAGTTTGCAGAAAAAAGATCAGGTTAGTTTGGCTAGCCAGATACCAGATGGTGCTTACAAGATCAGACCAATACACCAATATATGATCTTTGTTATAAAAAAAATCTTTCCAAAAGCGTTAATGATCATCTTACCCAAACATGCATGTTTATGTAAAGATAATGTTTCAAAATAAAAATCTTTTGATGGTTGGATCTAGGTAGCCATCCCAGGTTCTGGCCTTTCCCCAGGGGAAAAACAAAAATAGCGGATGTCCAAGAAAATCCATTTCAGTCTATTCATTTTTCTCTAAAGATCAACCAGACAGTTTCTGCAGAAGTGGAATGTCTAATCTATTCTACATTGCTCAGATCGAGTGACAAATCATAAAATATCTATGGGAAGCTTGAAGGTGTTAGATTGAAGAGAACTGTTGGACATGCACAATACATCCATCCTCAGGTACCACTATCTGCTGGCTCTGCTCTAAACTAGAATGTTGGGGCTCAGATAAGTGTGCATATGTTGGTCTATAGAGTAATAAGGGATAGGGAGTGACCAGAATATACAGGTGAATTGAATCAGGAGGGGAGGCAGTATAGATCCAAAAGGTTTTCGGTCTTCACTGTCAGCAGGTGTCTGTCTGACCCAAAACCAATAAGAATGTTGCCAGGCTGACAGCAAACCTGTGTTTTATCCAAAACAACAAGCTTACTGCAATCACCATCTCTCCCGAGTATATACTTTCGCTCCTCTGCCTCTTGCTTGCTAAAAGCCAAAAAAGAAATACCCAATACTACCAGGTTTGGAGAACTATGCGGCTCACTCCATATGACAGCACTGACTGACCCAGGGACAATCAACAGTTACACCCCGGGACATATGGACTTATGTCCATATTATGCCATATGGACTTGTGTAGGCTACATCTTCAGCAATGCACTACTTACACAGGGATTTCTTTTCTTTGTTCCTGGGGTGGTAGGGGAGTGAAAAGGAAGGTAAATATCTGTTGGGGAGGGCTAAGATAAAGTGAACTTTTTGCTTTGCTCTGTGTGGGTAGGGTTATTTTGGTGTGCAACATAGCTCCCATTTATGTATTCCATCTTAGTATTTGGTGGTATGCCTTTGGTTCAGCTTTAATGTTATGTTCCTGCCACGTGTTTCGGGGAGGGATCAATTTTCTCAAGCCTTGAAGAAAAGGAAATGTCGGTGAAACGTGTCAGCTTGACAACCATTGGTACACTAACATAGGAAGTGGGAGAAACTCGCCTCCTGTGGGCTGCTACACGCTGCACTCTGTACCATCTAACAGCGCAGGTCCGGCTGACCCAATCCCAGCATCCTGGCCACATTTCAGATCCAACCCCTGCCACTAGCCACGGCTGGAGGTCATCTGGACTGGGCAAGGGGAAAACCTCTGAGACACAGATGATCATTCTTTTATTCCTCTCTTGCAAATTTATTTTATGCTGCTTCTTGTATACAATTAAATGTTTTTGCTACAATATTGGTTTACTCTTTGCCCTGTTATGTCAGTAGATGAGATGCCACCTGTCATGCCAAAGCAAACCGCTCGGGGGGTGCTATCTAGTTTAGTTAGGAAGGCTGGATTAGTGAAGTAACTATGAACAAAAAATGTATATCTTAGTGTAACACTGTAGATCTTCAGCATCCATCAGCTGTAGATCCTAAAATCGTCTCTCATATGGTGCCGACACTGTCCTTCCTTCTGGAGGGGGGCTACTTTTGTTCCCCCATGGTCCCTGTGTGTGTTGTAAAGTAGCCACAGCTCCAAGCTCACTCCCGTGATAGACTACAGTCTCATGCTTAGTCTACTAATTTGTATTGAAGTTATAGTCCATCATGGGAGTGACCTTGGGAGTGGTGGCTACTTTACAACACACACAGAGACCATGGGGAACAAAAGTAGCCCCCCTCCAGAAGGAAGGACAGTGTCAGCACCAATTCAGAGATAATTTGGTGATCTACAGCCCAGTGATACACAAACAAGGTACAGTATTGTTAATAAAGTACTTGAATGCATTTTTAAGAGTTTAATATCACTTTGCAGATGCTTTTGAATTTTTTCAATGCGACTTTGACAAAAGGTTTCTCTTGAAAGTGGAAACCCCCTTTAACCATGGCAGTGGTGGAACCTACCTGCTATTTTAATCAGCATGGGTAACAATAAACTGTGGATGCCTTCGGAGAAGAACTCGTTCCATTCGGAGATAAGATTGGCGGGAAGCTTTTCAGCATCGCTCGCTGTGACAGCTTGAAAATAGCCAGACAAATCAGATGCCAAGCTGCAACTTACGCAAGCAAATAATCGAACAAGTGGAAGACGGTAGAGAGCGGAGCTGTCACACGCAGTCTGAGAATGTGGAGAGAGAAGAATATTTGATTAGACCAGAAAAAGAGAGGGAGAAGCTCTATTACGGCAGAATACTTCCAGCTTATCTGTAATTGAAGTAACCTGCAACGCATTACACTTTAATAAGTAAATCAAAATAATCCCGTTAATGACTACCAGAGGAATACAGAACATAGGATTCTGATTTATCCGTCACTGATCAGCCCTGATCTCTGGGCTTTTCTATGCACGCAGAGACTTTTATGGACAAAAAATTCAAAACCTTTTCAACAAAACGAGGCAATGGCAAGTGCGGGAGAGAGTTCTGTGGGACAATGCTGCCCTCGAGAGGAAATTTGTCTCAATAGCAAAGGATTTCTGCTGTTCTTCGAGGAAATGCATCTTGCCCTTTATTGCCTGATCATGTGCGAATATTAGTCATAACATAACATAAATCCCAACCAATATGAATGTCTGAATGCTTGAGTGTGATGCAACTGAACTTTCCCAACAGCTATTTAGGAGTTTGAGAACAAGACCTGTGCATTAAAACAGATGCTCTGCGCTGTCACCCCATCAATCTAAAACAAATTCAGCCAATTCTAAACACCTGGCACGAAGCTATCATTTAGCTATACCTTGTGTGATATGCATGAACTTGCGTATGTGACGGTTGAGGGGGTACAGAACAACCTCAGCAAATGCATAACCAATTTTCATTGGCCTAACTAGCTGTTCTCTGGGACATAAAAGGTTAAAGCTGAACTCCAGGCAAAACGCTAAAATACACATACATGGCTCTCTTATTATTATTATTATTATACAGCGCCAACAGTTAGCGCAGCGCTTTACAATATAAGGAAGACATTACAAATCACAATACAATTCAAGACAAGATGGTAAGGAGGGCCCTGCCCCTGAGGGCTTCCAATCTAAAAGGGAGGGGCCAGTGATACATGAGGAGGTAGCGGTGTGGGGATGAATTGTTTGAGAACGTGACAGTTCAGTGGTTAGGTTGAGGTGGGATAGGCTTCCTTAAGAGATGAGTCTTAGTGTGTGTGTTGTGATAAAATGTTGCAGGCGTACATTTAAAATGCAATATAGCGTATCACAACGCACGGCACTGCGCCACAACGCTTTGCCGTGTGCTGCTACACAGTTGAATGTTGTTTTGAAAAGAAAAAAATATATCAAACACTGCGATGTGTTCCAACAACATAACGCAGTGCATGGTGTGCAGCCCGATCAGCTCGTAGAAGCACCTTTAGCAGCAAATACTTGAAGTCATCGTTTTCTGTATGACTACCAGTCTCTCACATTGTTGTGGAGGAATTTTAGGCCACTCTTCTTTACAAACTTTGCTTCAGTTCATTGAAGTTTGCAGGCATTTGTTTATACACAGCTCTCTTAGGCCTAGTTCACACCTGGGCGTTTTACAGTGCGTTCCTACGCTCTGTAAAACGCTCAACATGTGAAACCCAATGATTGCCTATGTGCATGGTTCCCCCCTGGGCGTTTTACAGTGCGTAGGAACGCGCTGCAAAACGCCCTACGCCCAAAGAAGTACAGGAGCTTCTTTGGGGCGTATTTGCCGCGCGTATCCATTGGGATACAGCCAGGTAGCCCTCGGAAACACGCGTTTGTCGCACTTTTTTTAACCGCGAATCGCGGTAAAAACGCGTGGCACAAAACGCGCGCCAAACACGCATATTCGATACGCCTAGATGTGAACCCAGCCTTTCAATCAGGTTAAGGTCTGGACTTTGACTGGGCCATTGCAACACCTTGATGCTTTTCTTTTTCCAACCATTCTGTTGCAGATTTCCTGGTGTGCTTGGGAACATTGTCCTTTTGCATGACCCAATTTCGGCCAAGCTTTAGCTGTCAGACAGATGGCCTCCCATTTGACTTTGGAATACTTTGACATACAGAGGAGTTCATGGTCAACTCAATGACTGCAAGTTGCCCAGGTCCTGTGGCTCCAAAAAGAAGCCCAAATCATCATCTCTCCACCACTGTGCTTGACAGTTGGTATGAGGGGTTTGTGCTGATATGATATGTTTGGTTTTCGCCAAACATGGCGCTGTGCATTATGGCCAAACATCTCCACTTTGCTCTCATCTGTCCAAAAGACATTGTTCCCGAAGTCTTGTGGTGTGTTCAAATGCAACTTTGCAAACCTAAGCCACGCTGCCATGTTCTTTTTAGGGAGAAGAGGCTTTTTCCTGGCAACCCTTCCAAACAAACCATACTTGTTCAGTCTATTTTTATCTGCACTGCCATGAGCTTTAATATTTAACATGCTGAGGCCACTATAGTCTGGGAATGTATCCCCTGGCTTCTTCTGCAATGCCTTTGAGCATTGCACGGTGTGACCTTGGGGTGAATTATCTGGGACGTCCACTCCTGGGAAGATTGGCAACTGTCTGGAATGCTTTCCACTTGTAAATAATCTTCCTTGCTGTAGAATGATGCACTTTAAATTGTTTGGAAATGGCCTTAAAACTCTTCCTCGATTGATGGGCAACAACAATTGCGTCTGTAAGATCATTGCTGATGCCTTGCCTCCTTGGCATTGTGTTTACACCTGAATGCTCCATACCAACAATCTGCTAAAACTTTGGCTTATATAGAAGTGGTCAGACTTGCTGATGATCAATTAATCAAGAGCATTTGATTATCAGCACTAAGGGTTGCTACTTAGCCTCTTAATTCCTATTGAAGCAGTAAGGGTGTACTTAGTTTTTTTTTTTTTTACACATGGCTTCTCCATTTTTGGCTTTATGTTTGTAAAATAAATAATGACACGGTGTAGTATGTCGTGTGTTGTTGTTCATCTGAGGTTGTATTTACTCAAATTTTAAGACCTGCTAAGGACCAGATGATTTTTCTCTTTCTCTTAAAGCCATAGAATTCAAAGATGGTGTGCTTTCTTTCTCACATGGCTGTATTTTCTGGTCTTGCCAAAGGATGTTCCAGGACTAAGGCGTGACAGCACGGAGCATATTCCTACAACAGTAGAGCAAATTATGCCAAATTGTTGACTTACCTCTAACCATGCCAGCATGGAGCACATGATGAAGTCCCATTCAACATCCCCCAGAGAGGGTAATGTGGAGGAGGAGTATTTCAGCAAGGCAGAGAAAAATCTTATTATCTCAACATTCAGCCCGATCAGCTCTGGCTTAACAGTTTGTAAATTGCTGGAAAATACAGATATTTTGGTAAATTAGACTGCTAAATATTACAGTGACAATTTCAAATTGACATTTCAGTACAGTCCTATTAAAAATTGCATTTTATCATTATGTTAAAAAAAAAAAAGCCGATTTACTGCATTGCCCCCTATTGGTCAGCCCTGACAAACTCCTCTGACCACAACGGTCACTGCTATAAACTGCTATAAGGACCCTTTCACCCCTAACTACATACGTTTTCACATTGGCGTTGCTATAGGACGTTTAGTTTCTCTCGAAGGAAACTGCGACGATCCTTTGGCAATGGCTTGGCGAGTGCATCCACAGTCATTTCTTCTGATGAGCAATATTGAATGTCTCTGTGAAGGTTCTCATTCATCCAGGTCATGGTATATCTGTAAAGAATAAGTCAAGGCAACGGGACCTGCTGTATTTTTCTTGAAGACATTTCACTGGTCATCCAACCAGCTTTCTCAATTCAGAAATTCTCGATTCTGAATTGAGAAAGCTGGTTGGATGACCAGTGAAATGTCTTCAAGAAAAATACAGCAGGTCCCGTTGCCTTGACTTATTCTTTACAGATAAATATTGAATGTCAATAATGGCTTGCTAGAGTGTCCTTAAGCAGATACTTCACGTCGATGTGCTTGGTTCTAGGGTTGGCCCTCTCCGATTGTGTCAGCTAAATGATTGAGTTCAGAATTAAATTCAGCTTCCAGTGAAGGGCACTGTTAACACTACAGCATACAAAAATATTTTACATAATTTGTGTGCTTCCAGACTTGTAACCACAGTTTGTGGAAGTCCATTTTCTGCTTTAGGATGACTGTGCATAAAGCCTGTCACATAAAGATATGGTTATAGGAGGCTGGTGTAGAGGAATGTGAGTGGTTTGCACAGAGCCTTGACCTCAACCCTACTGAACACCTTTGGGATGAAGTGGAATGTTGACTGAAACTAGGTTCCAATAAACATCAGTACCTGACCTTACAAATTCCCACAGACACTCCAAAATCTTGTGAAAAGCCTTTTTGGGAAGAATAAAAGCAGTTATAGCTGCATGGGTGGGGGAAACTCCATATTAATGACTATCGTTTTGGAATGGATGGCCCAGCAAGCTGATACCGGAGTGAGGATCAGGGGTCCATAAACTTTTGGCCACACAGCATACATTAGATGACCTTCAACCAATCTTGATTATATTGGCTGGATCAGAAGATCGCCACAAGATCTATGGGTACCTCCAGATGTGAACAAATGCTGCTAGAAGACCAAGCTGGCAGAAAGAGGGACATTAGATTTCTCTAACCACTCAATATTGTTACTCTGAATTAAAGGCCAAGTTTACTTTTTTTATACCATGTTATAGCCATATTCAGGATGTAAGATGAAACATGGTCACACTGCCACCCCCACTTACCTGAATTGCAGGGTTTGTCTCCTGTAGGCTGCTATAATTTTTTTAAAATCAGGAACAGTTGTGCATCATCAGCTTACAGATCTGTGAACGGATCCTGAACTACAAGTCCTGTCTGACATGGCAGCAGAGGGAATTTAGTTCTCAATGGAATACAAGTGCAGTGCATCACCTCACTTGTAGTCCATGGACACCTTCTTGTTCCTTCTTCCATTCTTCCCCATTACTGAATGTCCATACCTCGGCACGAACAGGGACGGGAGGAAGAGACTGCAGGAGCCTGAGCATTGCACCTGCGATCCACTTGCTCTAATGCAGAAAATGTTTTTGTATGAAATGTATTTTTATAAAAAGTGGACTTTACCTTTAAAACTGGTGCCAAAGGAAGCACTTAAAGAAGAACTTTACCCTCAACTTTAAAATAACAACAAACACACCTTTAGAAATGTTTAGTAATGACAATCTACAAACACATACTTCTAGATAATTGCAGTATTTGTATTCTTTGCAACCTTATTTTTCTTCTTTAGAGGCTTCTGACAGTGGCCATGTTAACTAAGGGCAGATTACTAGCTCTGGATTTACTTCCTGGAACTCTGGCACATGTGACTAGGACATGTAACCATGCACATCATCTCAGGGGAAGAAAATGCCTTTCCCCGAGATCTCTTGAGATTACAGTAATGCTCGGCTGATGTAATCTTCCCAAGATGGAACGCTTTGACACCTTTGTGCCAGAACTGGACCAGGAAGTAGATGAACTCTATTTGTAAGTAAATGAAAAACGAGTTTGTTTAACCAATAAATGTAAGATGATTTTAAATCAGCATGCAGAGCTGCACGGTGATGTGATTTTTAGTAAAAGAGGGTTAAAAGGTCCGCTTTACGTGCACAAACCCAATCAGGGTTCATGGTAACCTGGACATTGTTCCGTTAAAGGTTTATCTGCTGCTTTGTACGTGTCCACTATCTAATGTTTAGCTCCAGCCTGTAACCACTCACTTGCTGAAAAGGAAGAGTTCTTCATGCTCATTCTTCAAGGATACAATAATTTGTAGCACTCCAGGAAGAAATTCAGGAGAAGGAATGGAATCAGAATCCAGGCAAGAATTTATAACGGCAAGACAACCAAACCCTCCTGTGAGTGGAAAGAAGAGAGTTACAAAGTTTAATCTATAAAGTATCATCTAACAAAACAGCACAATATATAGAATATAAGGGTCATGGCAATTGAGAAGTAACTTAGTTACTTGTAAATAGCAAAATGGCCAAGGACATGGCACAGGCAATTAACCAAGAAGAAAAGAGAAACAGAGCGAAAAATTAAGTTCAAACCAGCGGTGATAAACAAGACAGGGAAGTATTTGGCATCACAGCTTTCTGTTGACACAAAGGATTTTGATTGTTAATTGCCTTCTGTACCACACCAATACAATTCATTAAGCCAGCTGAAATCACTCTAAAGGCAATCAAAAAACAAGTCCCCATTTTTTTTTTCCGGTGACTACATGTGGACAAATTTGTCCGTATCCATACAGCTTATTGAAACAACGCTTCATTCCTCCTGCAATATGATGACATTAAAAGCATTTTTCTAATGTATACCTGCATGTCTTTGGAATGTCACAGAGGAAAGAGATAAAGGATTGCTTATTCTACAAAGATATTCTAAAAACAGCCTGGACACAATTGTTGGTACCTTTAGATAAGATAACAGATATATAGGTCATAGTGATATTTCACACTAACTGTCTTCAACTCTACAGAAAAGGAGTCACTCTGATGTTTTATATCATCGTGTGCACCACAATGAACGTGGGACCAGAGAAAGCAAAGGAGAGATATGTACGAGGAGAAAAGCAATTATCTCCAAGCAGCTTGATGTTCCTATGACTACAGCTGCAAAAATTATTAAGACTTTTAAAAGGTCCATGGGAGTTTAGCCAATATCCCTGGATGTGATCACAAGAGGGAAAGAATGGAAACAGAAGGATAATGTTAATGGTGACAAAGAGCCAAAGAAAACTTGCAAAGGAGATACAAGCTGAACTCCAAGGTCAAAAGTACATCAGAGTCTGATCGCACCATCCATCACTTTTTAGTGACAGTTGGCTCAAACTAATGAAGGGGGGAAAAAAACCCAAAACATAAAAAGGTCAGAGTGGAATTTGCTAAAATGTATATTGATAAGCCACAAAATACTTCTGGGAGAATGTTCTTCGGACAGATGAGACAAAAAACTGGAGCTTTTTGGGAAGTCACATCAACTTTATGTTCACAGACAAAAAAAATATTTCAAACAAAAGAACACCATACCTACTGTGAAACATTGAGGAGGCTCAGTTATGTTTTGGGGCTGCTTTGCTGCATCTGGCACAGGGTGCCTTGAATCTGTGCAGGTCACAATGAAATTTCTAGACTATCAAGAAATTCTGGAGCAAAACGTTCTGCCTAGTATTAGAAAGCTTTGTCTCAAGTCACAGGTCATGGGTAGAACGCGCAGCTAAATGCACCCAAGAATGGCTATTCTATTAACTCAGATCTGAATCCTATTGAACATCTATGGAAACAGCTGAAATCAAACAGTCTGGAGAAGGAACCCTTGAAACCTGAGATCGTTGGAGCAGTTTGCTCAAGAAGAGTGGACCAAACTAACTGTTGGCAGGTGCAGAAGTCTCACTGAGAGCTACAGAAATGTACTTGTTTGCAGTGATTGCCTCTAAAGGTTGTGCAACAAAGTATTACATTAAGGGTCACATCATTTTTGTCCATGGCATTATCACTTGTTTTATTTAAAATATTCTACTGAATCAGAAATCAAAAGCAAAGTCTGATTTTTGTTATATATGGAACAATGGTGGATGTCAAATACTTTTGTCTTTTCAAGTTATTTCAAGGAAAATTGTGGGTTCTTTTTTGTGCAGGGGTACCAACAAATCTGTCCACGTCTGTATGTGTACGATGCAAATTTTACTCTACAACCCTAAAAAAAAAATGTAAGAAAATGTGTGGCTTGCACCCTGGGTTAACCACTTAATACATTTTGCAATATGGGCCAAAGATTGAATATCATGACGGATGGAGGCGGCCCCTCCTGACTTATCCAATATTACGCATATATGGCAAACGGTTTAGTCATGCATGAAGGTGCTCATTGCTTTATCCTATTTTCTGTATACTTTATAATTTTCCCAAGAACTCCCCTTTGTTTAATTGACCTTTTCAAAAGACACTGGGTTTAATTTATCAAAACTGAAGCAGACAAAATCTGGAGAAGCTTCTCTCTTCAGTTTGTTCAGTTAAGATTTGAAAATGAAAGAGATGCTGAATGGTGGTTGCCATACAAAGCTGCTCCAGATTTTGTCTGCTCCAGTTTTGATAAGTCCCCCCCAGTGTAACCCATTTTAGTGCTGAGATACTTCAGCTGCCAATATTCTGAGGGTGCAGAAACCCTTTCGGACCCGTTCACCCGTTCATAGTACTGCACTGTGTCAACGTACACATGTAAAAGATGTTGCATTAGGGCAACCAATTAATTTAAATTGTTTGTCTAAACCACCAATAAGGGTGCAAACAGAATATCTGGCTGCATACAGAACTGCAGCAATGTTAGGTTGTTGCTGTGTATGTTTGTAAGCAAGGTACGTTGGGGTTATATTCAGAATGAAAAGCATTGCATCCAGCCAATGCAGAGATTCCCTACACAAGTCAGCACAAAACAGGGTGTATGTAGCATTTCTAGCAGCACACAGAACAGCAAGGCGTTAGGTTGCTGCTGCGCAATTTTGTGCACTACACTGCATGTTTGTCAGCAAGGTGCGTTGGAGTCTATTCAGAATGAATGGCACTGCATTCAACTGATGCAGTGATTCTCTGCTCAAGTTGGCTTACCCAAAAACAGTGGCATATGTAAAGTGTGGTAGCTCATAGCACCCAACCAGAAATTATCTCTACTCACTGATCTGATTTCAGAAAGCCAAATCATAGTTGCCTGCTGTGTGGTGTTTTACTCAGCACACCATCAAATCTCAGAATACATGAGCTGAATGGCTGCAGTCACTGTTCACATGAAAGTGTACTGTACTGACAACGATTCCTGTGAGTCAAGTTAACATGGTTTAAGAGTCCTTCATTTATTTGCTTCCAAGCATACCAGGATCTGTAGTAGGGCTTGGGTGACACCATTAACCCTATTCATTATTTGAATTAAAATTTCATAACTGGAAACAGTAAAACATAGAACGGTGACAGTAGAAAGGCCAAGTCTGCCCCTTTTTTAATTTAATTTGTCCAAGTATAGATCTATGTTGTTTCCAAGCATATTTTAGAGGGTAATTCTCACCGAATGTCAGATAATAGAATTGCCCCCACAAATCCCTCCCTTCTCAGGTGTCCACACTGGCCAAGAAGTGCTCGCCATCTGCGGGTGTTATTTGAAATACCGAGTGCAGAGCTGCAGTGCCAAATACGGTGCACAGATTGTAGACTGGCAGCCGCAGAGGGGAATGGCCATTCAATCAAAGGTAAGAGCAGCGGAGGGCAATGGGGCAGAGAGTGGAATTGCCTTTTAATGGCTGAGGTTGACAGTTTAATTACCTCTGTTGGAAGTCTGTTCCAAGCATCAACTTTTGGTAAAATAATATATTCTAAAAGGTTATCTTTTGTTTCTCATCTTTGGACTTGGTCTATCACATCAATATCTTTGTGTACGTGAGGTCTCCAGAAACGGACACAGTTTTCTAAATGAGGTCTAACTATGGATAGAAATCTATCGATCAATCTATCTACATCAGGACCTCACTCCTCCTGCTGGTGATCCCTTAGGTGATGTACCCCAGAAATATATTCGCTTTCCCCACTACCAGGCAACACTATTTGCTCATTTTCCAATCATCTGAAATGAGCACCTCGGAACCACCAATAGTGTACTCTATCAGAGGATGCATTATTTTGCATTTACAGATTTTGAACTATAGTTTCAACTGGTTTGATCAATTGTTAACTTAACCAAAATCAGTCTCTACTTTTCCTAACGTCTGCACCTTGTGAATACAGGTATTCCTCACTTAACGACCGAGTTCCGTTCCTACGACCAGGTCGTTAAACGGATTGGTCGTTAAGTGAGGAACTCTATACAGTACTATACTGCATTAGTACAGTACTGTATAGCGTTGCCGATGTACAGTACCGAACAGTGTACTGTACATCCGGCAATGGAAATACTTACCGAGACCTGCAGTGAAGATCGGGGGATGCCACTTCCGCCGGCGACCCGTCGCACTGACGCTGACGGTCGGAGGTCGATCGGCGGTCCGTCGTAAGTGCAAGTGGTCGCAAAACAGGTAAGTCGGTAAGTGAGGAACATCTGTAATTAAATGATCTGACAATTTTTGAGGAGATAAATTCAAAAGATCTGTTACAACAACTTGTAAACCTGTGAACATTGATTTGGGTTTGGAAACAGGACTGGACTGATTGGGATTATTCATTACACTATATATAGTTCCATTTGACTAAAACCATTTAAAAAGCACATGGATTTTACATAAGGAAATAACACTTTCTCTTCAAGATTCGTTATTTACAAGTTTCCTGGTTGGCATGCAGCATTCTTTTCTGACATGGAGAGGCCTACATGTGGTTTGTTCTACTCACCATCAATGCAGGACACTGTGGCAGGCACGCAGGACATAAGATGTGAGATAAACTGGATTAAAAGCAACTCCTTTTCGTCTTTACTTAAGAATGGAGACAGACACTGGATGGTGTGCAAAGAGCCCTGTGTCACAGGAAAGTAACTGACAAGAGAAAAAAACATGCTACATTAGAACATTATACATAAATAGTCCTCTGATCACGCAAGTGTATGCTGTGCTGGCACACAGAAAGGATGAATACCACTTTTAGTCAAGCTCCCTGTACAGAAATGCATTTAAATCAATAAGAAGAGTACAAGAGCATAACAAAAAAAGGTGCCAAAATTACAAACATAACATTACCCAGTTTTTGGTGTCCCCGTAGTAAAACCTAAAACAAAAAAACAAAAAAATAGCCTATACCTACTCCCAACCCAAAAAAAAAAATAATGTCAGTTTTTCTTTTTTTTTTGCTGCTGTGTCCAATTGGGGAGATTTCCCTTTGCTTTCTTTACCAGGAACTCACAAACAACAGATTATCAAGTGAGAGGAAATCTCGCTGTCACCACTGGAAGATGTTCCCTTTATCCTGTTGTGACAAGGATTTCCCCTCACCTTCTGTAATTGTGACAATGCTCACTAGGATGAATAGAGAAGTTGAATCTACCCACTGTAGATACAGACTGAAATTAAAAAACTGGGCAAAGGGCACAACACTCACAATCTACCCAAATACAAAAAAAAATCTATTTAGATTTAAATTAAACCTTAAGAAGGGAATTAAGAAACAACTGACCTGTCTGTGCTTGCAGTCAGCGCTTTCAGTGCCTCTTGTCCAGGATTCCTCAACTGAATATGTTTATGGAGGGTCAGAGACCACAGTGTACCACTTTCTAATGATCTATTAACAAGAAGAAATATGTTATGAAGAAAATAAAAAAACATGTGTCAATCAATCATTGAATAAATGAATCACAACAACTTGATTCATAGAACAAAAGTGTAAAACATCAAGTGTGTGAAGGTTCTCAATTATTCAGGTCATGGTAAAGCTAGTAGTAGTAGTTATTCTCATTTACCTGAACTTGTTCTGTAATGTTGAACATGTTTTGTAGCTTCTCTAAGCCACTTCTTCAGTTCCAATGAGTGTCAGGAAGATAGCCCATCATCTATATCCACACAGGTAGTACAGACACCGTTTCCCCTTTCTTAGACAATCGTTACACATTCTATAGTGATTGCACAATGGAATGTGTAGATGATTGTCCAAGAAAGAGATTAGGAGGTGTAAAAATTGTAGAACCACCCCGTTCTAGTTACCTAATCCCATCCTTTATGTTGGCAAGTCTGCATAGGTATTATTTCCTTGATTTACATGGCCAATGGTATGAACAGTTGTCAAAACACTAAGGTAGAGATGTAAAAATGGCATTATTTGTGGAAGACAGATGGTATCAAAGACCTTCATCCCTCTTCAGGGATGGTTGTTCCAGTTTGACGTAGAAGGCCTATTTTATGCCCCTTTGCAAACCAGCTGTCCTCCCTGTCCAAAATCAGTGGACAAATGCATCAGGTTTACACAGGAAGAGGTACGGCCGACATAAAAGGCTAAAAGCTACAGTCTTCCTAAACTTAAGTAAATGGGACATTTTATAGACAGTAAAAGGTACACATTTTGGACAGAGAAGACAAATGGAGGTGTGAAAAGGCCTTCTATGCCAAACCGGAACAAATCATCCTTGAATGCGGTGGGGGCCTTCCACACCACTTTAATGCCATTTAACATCTCTACCCCAGCATTTGTCAATTCACATCTTTAGCCAAGTAAAATTGAGGAATTTACACACACAGACTTACCGCCACCATAGGATGGGATTATGCAACTAGAAAAGGGTGGTCCCACAGCTTTCACATCTTTCATCCTGTTCTTAAAAAATTAAGATCTACACATGCCATGGTGATTTCTTTAAGGTGACTGTGCTACCTGTGTGGATATAAATGCTGGATTTCTTCCTCACACTTATCGGAACTGAATAGGTGGCTTGGAAAAACTATGAAACGTCTTCAACATTACAAAACACCTCCAGTTAAATGTGACTAACTACCACTAGCTGTAAAGTGTCATGAATAAGATAATTTCCCCATAACTCACCTGGTATACAAGAGTTCTAGGAGGCCAGGAAGATGGTCACCGAGTTCTATTACTCTGTCATGAGTTATGTTCATAGCGCGGAGCATGCTGCAGCACTCTGTGAGGGTGGCAGGCGGTCCCTCAAGCTCATCGCACCACTGTAAGCTATACAGCACTTCGGCAACTGGGCAAAAACAATTAAATTAATTATGTGCACACGAAACGTGTCAAATAATTCTTTACAAGTTTGTAGAAATGTGATATTGGCATGTTTAGGTCTCTAAGCTCGTGTAGACACTTTCCCACTCTAGCTGAAGCAAAACTAAAAAAAGAAATTGAGCTGGGGGCTTTAATGAATAAAGTACATGGTACCAACACTGTATTCCTAGAATCTATACCGATTACAGCCTTTATAGGATTATATAAAGAACTTACTAGACATTAAATCCTATAGTAAATCCTATAGCTCAGCTGTTAGTTTAGGGCTTGGTTAAACCCTACTAATGCTGAGGGTTGGGAGGGATCTCTCTGCTGAGATGCTGAACAGCAGTAAAGACAGACAGATTAAACTGTATCACTTCAGACAAAAGTGATAAATGGGTTGCTCATCAATCTACATTTACAAAACTCCTGTTAATAATATGGACTAAGCAAGACAAATGCTAATGAAAAGGACAAGCGAGGGACTGGGAGTGGATGCCAATGCACTGATGAAACAAATATATATTTTTTCTGGTCCAGCTTTAACCTGGTGACACAAACAGGGCCAACATGGCTCTAAAGGTTTCAGTTACACAGGCTGACGGAGGGAGTGAGGGCCGATTGGAACGGCCCTCTAGCTGCTGTGTGGGTGGAACAATCCACAATGTTCCCAGGACGTTCCAGCTGGCCAATTAATAGACACTAATTGGCTTTATTCTAAACATAAGCCATTCCGTCTTAAAATCGAGATGAAGTTTTGGCAGACGTGCTTATGAAAAAGAAAACAAAAAAGTAGGAACTCCAAGACTGAAAGGAAAGCATGAAATACTAAAAACTGATTATATTCAAAAACCAAAGTCTGGTAATAAGACCCTCACTAAACATCATTTGAATCTAAATGAACTAGGGATGCACTGATATAAATCGGCCGAAAATGGCACTTTTGGCATAATGCCGAAAGTGCCATTTTCTGGCCGATACAGCGCTGCATCCGTGTATTCTCTCCTCCCCGTTGGGCGCTGCTCTGTGTCCCAACGGGAAGGGGAGAAACTGTCACAGGTGGTCGAGTGCTGTGGGAGGAGAGCGCTGTGAGCGGCCTGCATCTCCCCTCCCCGTACCCCTCCGCCTTCTGTCACAGATCAGGAGAGCAGTGTGGGCGGAGACAGCCAGCGCTGTCACAGGAGGCTGAGCTCTCCTCCCCGCACCGTTCGCTCAGCCTCCTGTGACAGCTGTCAGGATGGAGAGCGGTACAAATACTCAGTGATCGTGAGTGTTTGTACATAATTGAGGACAGAGTATGGTTACTATATCCTCAATTATGAATGAACAGGAACACTCAGTATAGCGGACTCCTGTTCATTTATAACTGGGGCTGCAGAAAAAAGGGAAATATCAGGGGTCTATTTAGACGCCTAATATTTCCCCGAAGCCCCTAAAAATAAAATATTAAAAATTTTTTTTAAAAAAAGTTAAAATAAAAAACATTTTCGGTTTTGGCCTTTTTTTTTATTTCGGTTTCGCTTTTAACATTTTTATTTCAGTGCACCTCTAAAAAGAACCCAATGCACTTTTAGACAGCCTCCAACCCTTGACAGGATATGGAATATGGCAAGCCTAAGCATTAGCATGATGGGAGGAGAGGTATAAACATACGGTTTGTCATGGTATCAGGCACTGCCTTTGTATGCCAACTGCTCTGCAGAAACAAGCCAAGTGTGTAACAATTATTGGGGGGAGATATTAGCACCTTGGAAAACATTAGCCTGCTTTTTAATGCAAAAAAAAGTTATGAAAAGTTATATTATACAAAAACACTATGGGGCCAATGTATAAATGCTTTGTCCATCATTTGACGGCATTAGTCTCTAGATCAAGGGTCTCAAACCTCCGGGCCTCCAGCTGTGGTGAAACTACAAATCCCATGATGCATCTCTTCGGGAGTCATGTCTGTGAGAATCTTGCAATGCCTCATGGGATTTGTAGTTCCACCACAGCTGGAGGGCCGGAGGTTTGAGACCCCTGCTTTAGATGGTGCTGAGGAGCATAGAAAGCTCCTATGCTCCTCTGGCACCATTTAGTGGCTGTAATGCCGTGCAATTGGCGTGTGTCCAGCTATATGCAGGGCAAAGCCTTTATACATCAGCTCCTATGCATTCCTTTCAAACGGAGTTAGTCTTTTACTGCATTTCACTTTATAGAATGGCAAGATGCCTATGTACACGAGTTATATTTTGTTTTGACATGTCTTTAATAGCTATACTAGAGATTATGCTCCTGTTTTATTGAGATAAAGAGCTTACCAGTTATGGTGATCCTCGCATCAATCTCCCCGTCTTTGCTCAGTGCGTTGTTCTCCAGGATACGAAAAGCCATTTTGCTCATTATCGCACCCATACACAAGTGCTGGGGCAGCCAAGTCTTATGAAATGATTTAAGATCTGTCCCAGATGTTCCCGAGTTCATACTCAACAGCCCTTCCAAAAGCGGCTTGCTTGACCACTGTAACAGAACAGAGCTGTCAAAACACAACTGCAGTGCCATTTCAGCACCTCATTTGTTTTAATGAAATATCGCTATCCGCCTAACCTCCGAGTTCACAGAATTACACGGATAGAGCAACGAGTATGAAAACACAGCGTTCCAGTACCTGTCCGGAAAGACCCTGTCGCATCTTCTGCCATTTCTCATCGCTCGGTATCATCAGAGACAAGTGCTCAGCCAGGAAGTGGGAGGAGGACGGACCCGAATCTAAGATCTTGCCATACAAGTTATCAACAGCACCTATCAGAGTCTGGAGGCTAAATGAGGCAAATATATATTAGGTAAGGTCGTTTGCAAACCATTCAAAGAACTACAATAGTGTAAGGATAGTGTCAATTTTACCTGTGCATAGTGAAATGAGACCCCTGAAGTTGCTCCGTGATCCACTGGGCAGAGCGATGAAGAAACTTGCTTTCTCTGGGCAGACTGTGAGGCCGGCAGAGAAGTGAATCTATACCACACATCCACGTGTGCTGCAGCTTCAGAATGAGTGCTTCTAGCAGGAATACATAAAACACAAGTTGCTGCAAAATATACTAACAGAGAAGAACAGTAAAACACAAACACTGTGCAATATTACTGCTCCAATGTAAATATATATTTTAAAAAAACTACACATTTAAATAAGATTTTTTTTTTAAAACATAAAAAAAAAAAAAAAGGAAAAAATGGTTTCATTTATACTAATGTAATATAATCTTTGTTTTACAAACAACATTAAAAATGAAGTGAAGGAAAATGTAAAAAAATGCTGTGAGGTAGAGATTTTTGCCAGAAGAGACATGCAAAGTCTCTTCTGGCAAAAAAAAAAAATTCTTCCTCTCTACCAGCGATTTTTTTTTTTTATGTGCAGGAGATATATCATCAGTGGCTGAAGAGAACTTCTGGGAACCCAGAAGTGGCGGTGGTGACGGGGCACAGTGCTGAGGACTGAAGATCAATCCATCAGCGCTGGAAAAAGGCACATTTGTGAGGTAAGGTATAAGAACAGTAACTGAGCCATCACATCCAAGGACTGGTAAGCTGCACCATAAAGAACGTGTAATAAAGTCGAGGACCTTACTTTGGGGTTGATGAATAAAACGTCTGCCCAGCTATACGCTGGGTGAATGCTGCTCGCTGGGCGTTGCTGTGATGGCATTCCTATCACTGGATGGAGCAGAGGAGCATTGGAAATTCCTATGTGCCTCGGCTACATCAAGGACTCATTTGTCACCATGCTGTGGTACCTGATATCTGGCTGTTCTCAGAGGGCACTGCACACAGCTGGAACATGGTGAGAAGAAGGTCCTCTGCAGACGGCATTTGCAGACAATATTTCACAGAACTGAAGAAGTTGGAGGCGACATCACAGATGAAGGACACAGACTGCTCAAGGTCACCGGCTTCTGAGAAATCCTTAGTTCTAGTCAATGTGCAATGAAGTTTATCAATAATCTTCTCCACATAGATGTCCCCTATGAGCGACTCTGGAAGAAAAGAATGAACAGCGCTGATTCGTTTATACAGAAAAGGTGACTACGAACGCTCATAGAGAACCATGTTATTTGACAGAATCTAATCGTTTTTGGTCAGTTTTAGATTTTTTTTTCAAAGTTTTGAAACTTATATTTTATAATCCTCTTATTTTGCAAACAACATGTATAACATCTCTCACTCATGATTATTATAATACAGGATTTATATACCACCAACAGTTTGTACAAGACTTTACTAAATTATTACAGAGCATTATGAGTTTATGAGAAATCCAAGGAGTAACTGTTCCTGCAGAGCTGGAAAAAAAAGAGTGGGAGTGAGTCACCTCTGATTTACTCAGCTGTGTATGTAGTTTGAGCTTCAGAAAGCTATGAACATGATAAAGATTTTTTTTAATAATATATATATATATTTTACACACACACTGTATTATATTGTTAACACTACAGAGCAACTCTGCAACTATATAAAGTCAGGATCATGCCAGTAAAACAAGATCCCTCTGTGCAAAAACACCTGTCTAGTATTTCTGTAATATTTTTGCTTTTAACAGTCATACATATGAGAAAGAATTTACTCAATAAGTAGCCATTCCTCACCCTCAGCATGTGATACTGGTAGGGGTGGGCATAGATACAGCACACCTCCTGCCCGCCCTGCATGCCAAGACAGCTGAATTTCCAGCTTTCCAGCTCAATGGTTAGTGAGACAGTGCCGTTTGTTGCCTTTGGTTCTGTTGATAATTTGATTTGTAAGTGTGAAGTTATAGAAAGCTTTAAGGCAGAACCAGTTAATGGTTGTATGACAACAAAGGACCCTGCGGCATTAACAATAAGTCAGCAATGGCAGATTCCATCCCTGTCAGGTTTTACTGCTATCCAGGGCTATCCCCGGCGTTGCAACTTCCATGTTCCATGTGAAGGCCACTGATGATGTAACTCCTGCACATGCGCACTGGAGTTACATCCCCCCCCCGTCTCACCTGGCCCATTCATGGCCTCTTAGAGATGCTATGAATGGGCCGAGTGTGTACACTGCACAATCCATTATGCACTCCATACAGTGCACACACAAAATAAATTCACTGGGGGGAGAGGGAACATTTTTTTGCAGCAGAGACTTTGAAAAATCCCTACCTCCCACTTTACTTCTGCTTTCTACAAAATAAAAAACATTTTTACTTCTGTCTGCGCTGCTGTGAAAGAGATATCCCATTTCCACTCCTGGGGACAAGCTTTTCACCAGACAGGAAGTGAAGGAATCTCTCCAAAGGAGACTCCGATTGAAGTAAAAACAGACAGGAGTTCTAATCCTTCCCCACTCTGTCCAAAGTTAAAATAACAATGTTCTGGCTATAGATAGACTTTAAAAATAACTATACATTCTGTCACTATAAGTTTTAATGAAATTATTTTTCAAACAAATGCCGGGGCAGTTTAATAAGCAATGTAAGCCAAACATTTAAAAAAACAGTGCAGTTTAATACAGTATAATGGAATTTTAAAACACCAGCTCTTACTCCACTTTAATATCCCACTACATTTTGCAAACATGGTTTACATTACTAGGAGAATATCTGCCCAAACAATTCTTCCATAAATCACTAAACTGAAAACAACTCATCCTTGAGAAGCGCACATTTGGCTTCATAGAGACCAGATCCAAGATAAGTAAAGAACATTACTCATTATTATCTATTACAATCATTAATCAGGAAGGATATAGCTGACTCTTTCATTACAGTCTATTTAGGATTAACAAAAACCTTCACAAGTTCCAGCTTGTGGACTAAAAATTGAAGACTTAACCCTCACCCACTTGTATTCTGTAAATAAACACCCCCAGCACAATGCCCCATGCTGGAGATAGGTTTTGAAAACCTCTTCCCTTTGAGAGTCAGCAGGCGATACTTTGCACGGCTGCTGGCTCCCAATCCCAGTTGACACTGACAGCATGGCGCCTTACTGATGATCAGGGAGCAATCGGAGGGGATTCCGATCATGTGATCACTGTCAGCAATGAGGCTTCACTGAAAAAAGAAAAGAAAAAAAACTTTCAGCCAGCAGATAAACAACTGCCACCTTTAAGGTGCCCATACACTGGCCAAATTTCATCCGGTTTTTAATGCATCAGCCAAAATGTGCATGGTGTGTGGGGCTCTTAGCTTCCTTTCTGCTGTCATTCCTCAATCAGCTGATTGAAGGAGCTGGCTGGAAAATCTTCGTATGATCAGAGATGGCAGCCAATGAGCTGCTCGCTCTAATCGGGTATTTCACACAGGTGTCGGCGGCACATGTCAGAATACAATGCAAAGAGTGGCAATTCCTCGATCGACATGCAGTTTGTGTTGATGGAGGAATCTCGTAAAAAAAATTAATTAGATATGGCCAGCCTTTTGCTGCAGTGGCATAAGCAGCACCATCAGTTTAATACTGTAATTATCTAGTATTAAAAAAAATAGTAAATGAATTGCAATAAAAAAGTACAACGTTTTTCTTTTGCCTTTGGCAGCGTATAATAAAGTAGAAACAGTGTACCATGTAAAAGACTTATACATGTCTTTAAAAAATATATACAATTATTTAGGTATGCAAATTAAAATCAGAGTTTATATGTCAAGTTAACCAATGCATGCTGACACTGCTAAATGTGACCTGGGCATCAAAAAAAAAAATTAAAAAAAAAAAAGGAAGAAAAATAAAATGTATCCATTGTGATGCCAAGTGTCATTTCTATTGCTCTGGGGCATATTAGAATGGGATGACATCCTCCCCGTTTCTATGCTCGCAGTGATACTCACCATTCTTAACATGTTCTGAGAGCACTAAGCTCAGTAGAGACCATTTGTCCTCTGATTTTCCTGCCTTGTCTGTTGATCCACTGGTACATAGGTCACTTGCCAGAGAAATAAGTCTGTCACCCAGAACTTGCCCTTTCAGCCAGTCACAGATCAAGGAGTGCTTGACGGGATCAGAACAAGCCTGACAAAAGGAACCAGAAAGATTAACCAATTTACAAAAAGCCTCTTCTAACACACACACACACACACACTTTGTCGCATGACATTTGCACAAATATTTACCAAATAAATATTTGTAGGAAAAAGTACACCAATTTTCCCATTATAGCCCTAAAGTCACCTATGGACCAGATCGTGCTTCACCAGTTTCTTCTCTGGCCACAACAGCCTGAAATCGTAAGTGATGAAATGCTTGTTGCATCTAGGTTCAGTAGCGAAAAGGGAGATCGGCACTTGGAAGTGTGCTGATCTCACTCCCATGCACCTGCAGACACCCACCATGCCGGTCCTCGGCCCGCACAAGGGACAGTGGAGCATAGGATAGACAGCAGTGTCAGCAGAGAGGGGGCAGCACAAGCTTCTTCTCTGGCCACAACAGCCTGAAATTGGAAGTGATGAAGTCCTTGTCTGAATTTTACAGCACTGCATTTCAGGTATGGGTCGAGATTAAGCTGATAAGGTGTCCCATAACAACCAAAATTAATGTCTCTTGTAAATGTGATGTGTGGCTGAACCTGCACCTAATTTATCCTTTGTTATATATGCTCCAAGATGGAGGCTCCCCTAGATTAGAGTTAGGACCACACTACACAGAGGGGCCTTGACGAGGCAGTACAGCTTCCACATATTTTGCAAAAATTGTGCAACTAAGGCCCCGTTCACACTGAACGATTTATCGCGCGATTTTTGCAGCGATATCGCTCATATTTCCGCGCGATATCGCTCTATGTAGCTTCTCCAATCCATTTCAATGGAGCTGTTCACATCTCGTCGCTCAATATCGCTTGTAGCTCGTCGCTGGTACCTTGTCGCTCCTACATAACCATTTTTTCGAGTGATTCCGAGCGATATTGCTCCTGATTGCATACAGCCCAATAGGAAAAAGTTGCGCAACAAGTCGCTCAATATCGCTCGTCGCGCAATATCGCTCAGTGTGAATGGGGCCTAAAACTTAACACAAGTTGTGAGACAGTGCAAACGTTTATTTGCAGGCTAGCTGGTAAGTGTGCTAGGACATTTTTGTATCTGTATTGTGCAAAGCCCTTCCATGTGCACCTTTATTCATAAGCCAGTTATAAATTGATGATTGTGGTCGCCATTTGCTTCATAAATTCTTAAGGAGTTGATCTCTGTCTCTTTCTCTCTTTACATTTTTTCACTACTATATAACTTTGCATATTTTTACATTTTAACTCTTCCAAATAAACTTTAAAAAACATTAATTGTGAGCAGAGGGCGTTTATCTCCTTATCACTTATATTAAGATCTAAAAACATGGGATGATGTTTGGAAGAGGGATTACAGGTCAAATCTAAAATAAAAAAATGATGTTTTTAACGCGAGTAGTTATCTGCCTGTGGAGATAAACACCTCATGTGAATGAGGCCATCGGAACGCATAGGGACTGGACATGGCAACATTATGGATGTCAATGTAGCACAACTCCACAATGTACCCTTAAAGTTTACACTAACAGGGTTATTCACAAAAGGGTGAAGAGTTAGGAGAAGGCAGGAGAAGTGGACAATCTAGGACAACATAGCTGATTTGGAAATAGTCTCCAATTCAGCTCAATTTCTAGTAAGTTTCTAAACTTTAGAGCCTTTATTATTATACAGAATTTACATCTGTAATAAGAGTGCAATCATACTTCCTTGCCTCTGTTAGATACCTATTAGACTGACTGACTCTGGACACGTCTTTTAAATTCTTCCTAATACCAATAATAAAAAACTTACCTTCTGAATGATGGACAGAAAAACATGCCATGGAAAATCAATCTAGAAAGAGGAAGAATAGAGACAATTACCAACATATCTTATTAACTAACATATTTTACTTAAGTGGTGGACTTATTCACTGTATACTCAATTGATTTAAATTTGAATTAAAAGGTAGATATAAAAGACGCAAACCAATGCAGTTCTGTATAGGGATGGGCATAAGCTTCTTTCAAGCCCTGAACATCACAACTCAACCTGGGAGAAGAGAAGCAGCACAAGGATCAGAATATCAGAGAGATGAGCTCATCGGTCTGCTGCTTCTCCTTTCTTGTCCAGTCACAGGCTAGACAAGACCTGTAAGTGTTCCTGAACTATAGAGAAAAATCAGGTCTCCTGCTCTGCTGTGGGGCAGGGTTGTGAAAAACACAGAACTGGATGGACAGAAATAAAAATCCATTGCCAGGTAACAAAGTTCCCATCTTTGCATTTATCTGTGTATTTAGCCCTTTGCCTGGAGTTCAGCTTCAAATACTTAAGACTTTAGTACCTTGCCTGTGCTTCTAGGAATCTCTGTGTTTCTAGGAATGCCGTTATGTGATAAATGGAGTTATTATAGTCTAAAACACACATTCAGCCTACTATAAACCATTTAAAATCATACCAGCAGAACGCTGCCTTTAGCTTTTATACATTTTTCCTTTGCTTTTTTTTTTTTGGCAATCTTCCCACTTTCACAATATAATTTGTTACCTTGGTTTTCTGGTTTCTTTCTGCAATCTTCTCTCTCATTTTTAAGTCTCCATTTGTCTGTCTTTATCCATATAGTCCCTGTCTGGCCTTCATTATGCTACATACCCTCTGTGTAGCCTCTATAAAAGTAGGCTATACATGCAGCAAATTGCCAGCTGAAATTCACACAGTGGGTACTGCTGTTGGCACCCTTCCAGCTGGCATCCCTCGATCAGCTGATCGAAGGAGCAGGTTGGAAAATTCTCCAATCAGCTGCAGGCTCCGTTCGGGTATTATGACAGCAGCCAGCAGGATACAATAGAAAGAGCAGGGGATTCATCGATCAACGCTCGTGAGTTTTGATGGAAAAATCTGTTCTCTGTTTTTCGTTCAGCCCGCAGGATGAATGAAAAAAAAATAGAACAGTGTGTACCCAGCTTAGGCTTTCCATTGAAATGTGCCCCACAATCTCTCCTTCATGATCTGTTGTTCCAGCTTCCCATGGAACTCTCCATGGAACATGGAATGTCAGCAACCATGCATGCAGACAATGTGCATGTCTTATTCTTTAATGCTCTTTCTAGAGACAACTGTGACTTCAAGCAGTGCATACAGTTCAGCACACTGCCTCAACTGTGTCTACCCCATTTAACTCCTAGGAGCCTTGCCTATGTTTCCACATGGAATTGAATCGAACGTGTTCACGTTTTGCATGGTCTGTTGCAAGCAATGTATGAACTGGTTACAACACTTGCAAATATCGAGAAATCTCCTTTGCTTATATTTCTCAAATGAGCAATATTTATAAGCTAAAAGTCAGGCAGCAGTTTTATTACCTTCGTCAAGTCCTCCAAAAGGTGCTTCCTCTCCAAAGGTTCAGAGCAGCAAAGCAGCACACTATACAAAATATCCACCAAGAAATCAGCTTCTTCTTTTTTGCACTTCTGCAGCCAGACTGTAAGTTTCTGATGGAGAAAGAGCATTGCTGGGTTTGACTGTGATCTTGAGTCGTCATCACTGCCCTGTTCTAGAAGCACCTGGAAGACTCTGATGGAGGAAAATGCACTAAGAAGGGCTGCAAGGAACCTCAGGTGTCGGCTTGATTCCCGTTCACCTATATACACCATGCTCAGTTCTGCTAATTTGCAAACCAAATCTTGCAGGCGAGATTGCCTCATAGCAGTCAAGGGGTGAGGTCCATCCTTGCTCAAAGACACCAAAGCCATTGAAGATTCTGGGGGCTGAGGTTTAAGGATGTCACACTCTTCCTCATCTGTGAATCGGATTCTGGCTTTTTTCTTTTTGCTCATTTTCAAGGAAGTGCTCGAATTCTTCAGAACTTGGAGGAGTCCAGAAACCCCGAAAAGTTCCTTTTCATCAGCTTCAATGACATCAACATGTGTCACACACACACTTTCCAGACTTTCCCAAAATGAAGACAACACACCAGTGTAGATTTGGGTAAGGTCCTCTCCAACCTCTGGATTCTCTACTTTTTGCTCCCATGAACGGATGGTTTCCTCTACTAGACCAAAGAGTGGACTGTTCTGAAGTTTCAGATCTTTTAAGGAGGAATCCATAATAGGAATGAGCTATGGAAAAAACAAAAAGCGGTTTAGAAGACTTGGACTTTACATCTCCAGGGCAGTCAAAGTGAAAACAAGCATTCCAAAACAGAGTAAATAGATCAAAATGAACAGTACAAAAAGTGTCTGCAGTAACCATCTTGGCCTTAGCGAAAATCATTGTTTACTGTACCTGTTCAATGATGAGCATATGACGTATCTTCCTGTGTTCCTCATCCTCTCCAATGTTCTCCTGCATGGTAAACCTGAGGCATTCCATGTAAGCAGTTAATATGGCAGAGCTTTCTGTAGTGCTGACCATGGCTCTTTCACTCGACAGGCTATTGGGGATGTAAGTTATTATACAAATTAGGGCCTATTCACACCAAAAACGGAAGTAAATTGCAAGTAAATCGGAGGGTCCGCTGACCTAAAATTGTACCTTCCTATATCCTTCCGATCTGTTGGGTTGCAATCAGTTTTTCAAGGGATGCTAACGGAAGGGCACTGAAAAATGAATGGTGTGAATGGGGATAGTTCACACCAGATATGTTGTGTTACATTGTCATGAAACAAAGTAGTGCATGCTCTACTTTTTTTTTTCAGCGCAAGGTAACGAAACTGAGTGGTGTGAACTAGCCCCATTCACACCCATTCGTTTTTCAGTGCCCTTCCTTTAGCATCCATTATCCATATAGTGCAATCAAGATAAGGCCATAAAAGAATTGACATGCATGCAGGGCTGTAGCTACCATGGGGCGAGTGAGGCACTTGCCTCACACACAGCTGAAAGGGGGCGCAGCCAGGGCCGGCCTGGCTCCACCCCCTCACCCTTGTTGCCATGGCGAGCACAGGGCGCCATTGGCAACAGGGCGCCAGGAGGCCAACACAGCTGCAGCCGAGCAGGAAGAAGATAAGCAGCACAGGCTCCAGCTTCTCCTCGGATCCCCACTGCTCTCCCCGTCTGTATGGACAGAGGACTCCGTGTCCTCAATGTCTTTTTCTATTTCAAAAAGGGAAATGTCAGGGATCTGTTTAGACCCCCAATATTTCCCCAAAGCCCCCCAACAGTAAAAAAATTTAAATAAATATTAAAAAACGGAAACTAAAATTGTTATCATTAGTTTTGTCAAACGAAACAAATTTTTATGCTATTTTGGATTTGGCAATCAGCGCATTCTGCACACGCGCGCCACCATCCTGGAGGCGGGGCACATGACGTCACACACCGCACACGTCTGTTGGGGGGGGGG